CTCTCTCTCTCTCTCTCTCTCTCTCTCTCTCTCTCTCTCTCTCTCTCTCTCTCTCTCTCTTCCTACCTCCCTGGCTCCACCCCTTCCCTCCCACCCTTCCTCCTCTCACTTCCTCCTGCCTGTGAGGGACCAGTCTCATTGGTGATGTTGGCATTGTAGTGAAGCATTAGCGAATAAATAAAAGTTGCAATAATAAAGTGTAGCGGCATAAGACACTCTAGATGGCCGCGATGACAGACAAACATTAGCAGACACGTGGTTACAGTCGATGACAGATGCGGTGTGACAGGCACACCCTGACAGTTGCCACAAGGGAGGGAGGCGCGTGGAAGAGAAGGCGATGACGTAAGACGCGCCCCACCGTGTTTTGTCTGAAGGCCGTCTTATGCCCCTCGCCCCCCTCTTCCTCCCTCCCCCACCCTCTCCTCCTTCCTTCCTCCTCTCGCCCCCGGCCTTCTCCTCGTCTGTAGCATTCCTAAAACGTGTTGAACTTTTCGTCGCCAACAGCACCATTATTTTCATCATTACTGGCATCGCTACGACGTGGCTACAACATCATCTAATCGCAAGTTTCGTCGTGAATCCCAAAGCCGTATAGAGCAGCCAAAGTTCAAATAATTTTATGAATGAAGCCAACTTGCTAGAAAAAACACACACAAAACAGGTCGTAAAATGACTGCTTTTCGTAAACGAATTCTTTTCCTTTTATACTGTACTTCTGCCTTACATCTATCTCTATTTTGATCTCCCTGTTTCCTTCCCCTCCCTTCGTCTTCCCTTCCCGCTTGCCCTTTGACCCCCTCGCGGGCAGGACATACCGGTGCCCTACCCTAGACAGAGCGGCGTGCCCGTGCCCTCCTCTCCCTTGCAGCCTTGACCCCTTCACCTGTAGCAAGCCTTTTCGTCATATTAAATTTGCATTTGCGGTTGCGCGGGGACGGAGGGAATTGTCAGCACAGAAGTTAAACTGACAACACAGATATCTAATGGGATTTTTTAGGATTGATTTTATGGCAGAATGGTCACGTATATATATATACATACATATATATATATATATATATATATATATATATATATATATATATATATATATATATATATATATATATATATATATATATATATATATGTACATATATATATATATATATATATATATATATATATATATATATATATATATATATATATATATATATGTACATATATATATATATATATATATATATATATATATATATATATATATATATATATATATATATATATCAAGTTTTATATATTCTCGGGTCTCGCAACTGTACCTGTTTGTAGGTTCTTTATCGGGTGGGCATTAATGGTATTTTTTCCCTCTCGCTTTTCGCAGACGTTGAAACGAGTCACGGTGTTTGTTTATATATGAAACCCTACACCAACACGCAACGCACGTACGTGTAAATACAAGAACTCAACTGCAGGATCAACAAACCGATTTCACCTGTATCTGAAACTACAAACAGCATCCCAAAGGCGTCCCATATTTCGTTTTTGATTTCTTGTGGAGAAGCGTTTTTTGTCGCGCAAATACTTCCTTTTTGTCATTATCTTGTGCTCTCCCTCCCCCCTCCCTCCCTTACGACGCCGTACAAGGGATTACGTCATTCCTAACTGGGTTGGCGCTCTCGAAGCAAGGTGCTATTGGTAATTGCTTCCTTGTTAGTACCAAGTATGGGGCACGGGTATGGCTGTGTATAGTATATCACACGCCCATGTAGCCTAGCATGACAGTTATGGCGAGTTTACTGTTAAAAGTTTACCGCACACTAGCACATACGCGGTTTCAACACCATCGCTAGCCTCTCCATCCGCCCATGCTCTCTCAGGCGGCCCAGCCCCCTACCTGACGCCCACCTGCGCCCACGTCAGCACGTCGCTGCTCTCGCCTCATCACCGTCATCGCTCGTCAAACGTCTTGCAGCTGTCAGTGTGGGTGTCATTTATCTGCATCACGTTGCACATTATTGCAGACATTCTCGGTGCAAGAGCTGGGCGACGCCGTGCTTGGTGTGTGGCGCTCGTCAGGGGCTCCGGACGGGGGCTCGCTTGAGGAGATTTTCTTATCTTTTATCTCGAGTGTTGAGGCATTACTTCATGGCTGAGGCGAGGTTTGGTGTCGTTTATGTCTCGGTATTTTGTCTCTTATCGGCGTGTGAGGGTTCCGGTTGCAGTGCAGTCTCGGGCGATGGGCTTTGCTGATAAGAGTTACAAGACAGATCTTAACCTTTTTAGTTCATTTTTTTATTATTTATTTATTTACTTACAGATCTCTTTACATTTTCTTTTATTAAATGAAAAAAATCTACACATATATTTATTCGTCATTTTCATTTATTCATCCATTTATTTTTATATTTCCCTATCTATTCATTTATTTACATATCTATCTACCTCTTTATTTATGCCTTTTTTATGGCGATATCGTAAGTTCCCAGACAACAGAGCTGAGCGATAAACCAAT